GTTCCACTAAAATTAATTTTTGGACCCAAAGGAATGACCCTTTTTCTGACAACTGTTGTTCCAAAACTTTGATTCTATAACTTTCATAAGAAATATATTGAGCAACCGGTCAAAACGTCGGCGTCAACACCTGACTTTTTTCCCAGAATATTTTTTAGCACAAATTTTAGTTCGTTTCACTATCCGACTGCTTCTGTAGCGGGGCAACGTAAGAGGAAGACGTTCGACTCAAAGAGTCCCTTATCCTTACCTCCTTATCCAAGGAACTCAAACCAGTAACCTAGGGATGAAGAGTTATTTAACTTCAAATAACTCTTACTTTTCTCAAAATTCAAACTGTTTGTAATTTTTTATTTGCGGCCAAGCTGCCTAGGGGTAAAGGTTTGTGTTTAACAATCTAACATAGTTAAACCTAGTCAAATTCGTAACGTGTGGCTTCCAGCCCACGTACAGAGAGTCTGTTAACTCTTCGAGTACTCAGTACGCCTTGTGTGTCCCACACAGTGTAATATCATTACCCGAGAACATTCCGTTCTCGAACTTCCGCAAGTGACGTTAAGTCTTGGCAATACGTCGGAGGTCACTGCACCTCAATCACGCATTCAGAATTTCAGTGAGCTCATAAACGCCTTCGCATCGTTGATGCTCAACTCCTCGTCACCGGCCCACGGCCAAACCTCTTCAGCGCGAAGCGCCATAAGGTCTCAAGCGGTCCCAGACCAACACGCGCGCCCAGCGCCTGCTCCAGGAGCTGCCACCAACCTTTCTGTGGCACTGTACCACCGCGAACACCGTTGCCGACACGACACAAACTCCATGAGCAGCCAAGGCGACGAGAGCCAACTTCAAGAACCTCAGGCTCCACCCAGAGGTTCGATGAACTGGAAGAATGTCAGATTGGCATGGACGAGCCCATGGCTCTCCGAGGTCTCGTCAACATGTTGTTTTAGGTATCATGGCTCAGTGCCTCAGTCACCCCCAATGTGAGAGCTTCGAGCATGTAATCCATTCCCAGTACGATGGAAGCCAATATGGGCCTTGCACGATGCGCCTCTGTTGTTCTTAAGGTACGATGAAGAAGTCCAGCGTGATCTAAACGTTGTTACGAATGACTTAGATGAGGCCCAAGGCCGTATGCTGTCGACCGAGTAACGTTCACAGCAGTCGTCTAGACTCGTGGCCCGGTCGCTCGTCCATCCATCACGTCGCGACTATGGCTTTCAGCCACGTGACGCTGCTGAGACTGCACATCGTGCTGCACAGCAACCCTTAGACACGTATGTGCGTGGGCCTGCGGCCGCTACCGCTGATGAGCAGGTGCTTCGGCACACACTCCGCGAGTGATACTTGACTCCACAAGTCACAACACCTCTTGAGTATCGGGAGCACTTGAAATTGCAGCTCAACCGACAGTCGGTTCCTTCCGTACAAACCATTCCGGTTGTTCTCAACCCTAGTGAATCCCAAAATGCTTATGAAGTACAGTTCCAAAACTGGGTGGAGCTAGCACGCCTTATAACGGTCTTCGAGCTAGTTTCTCTGAAACAGATATTCGTCTGGAGAGACGCTTGCGCTTGGACTTCACAAAAGCTAGGCGTCAGCTCCCGGGACCTCGTCCCCACCATCATGAGACGTCTACACCTTCTGCTCCCGCTGCGATCTCTGCTGCTTATTCTCACGAGCCTGCCCCCAGCCACTGGTCAGGGCCTGAGCGTGGCTGCCGACCTGTCTTCACTCCACTCTAGTGAAAAACACACAGCGCTCAGTGCCTGGCGACGCTGTCGCACACGATGACGGCGTTTCGGTACTGAATGGGCCCGACCATAAGCGTCTACGGCGTCAGGCAACCTTGCAGGAGGGGAACCTCAACTCCCAAGAGTTATGCGACTGAGGGTAACCCCTCCACTTCACAATATTGGGTATGACCCTGGCGACGACGTCGCGCCACAAGACGTTTCACGTGATAATGGAGCTCGACATGCTGAACGAGCAGAGACGAGCCACCGCTGGACCCTAGCGTGGTGAGTACCAGCGAGCACCTTGTTATGAAACAGCGCGTCAGATGTCTGAGCCAGTTTTCCCACGACTCGAACGTTTCTGTTGGCCGCGTGTCGGATGTTCTTAAAGAGATGCACCGATGGTGGACTGGTTTGACACGCCTTAAGTGGTTCAAACCCGAGTTTCGACCTAGAGCGTCAAGACGCTGGGCCGTAGGATCAGCTGGAGATATTTCTGCGTCTTCGTCAGCTCGGTTATCGTCTTGTGGCTCTGCCACTTGCTGTTCTTCAACCTGGCGTGGCTCTCCCGTTTGCTGTTCCTCAGCCTGCTGTGACCTTGCCACCTGCTCCCCACAGGCTCCTGCTGTGGCTCATACACCCACGGCCTCACAGGCACCTGCCGTCACCCAGCAACTCGCTGACGCGCAGCTGCTGTCCGAGTTGGCACCAGCGACGCTACGCTCACCCGAGCAGGGCCAAGATGTGGCTGGATTAAGCCCACATAAAACACTGGGTGGGTGCGCATCTTCTTCGGAAGATTAAGCGTGTACGATAGGCCCTTCCTGGCCACGACCTTGAACGGTTCAATGAACCTAGGTCTTAGTTTTGTCTTGAAGACGGCGACATTGCGTGTGTAGGTAGTTTTTTTTTGCATTGAATAAAACGAGGTCTCCGACCTCAAACCTTTCTATTCTCTCTGCTCCGAGCAACCGCATGCACCTTTTGTAGGTCTTGGCTCTCAGCTATAGCGTCGCGCACCTGGCGCATAACGCTAAGTCCCAGCGAGACGAAGTCATCAACTTGCTTGGGTACCGGAATAGGGCTGGCATCAGCAAGCCTCTCGGCTATTCCGTACCCTTCAAGCCCTGAGCCACCACGTGGCAGTTCTAGCGGGGCGTGGGGATTCACAAGGCCGTTCACGTTGAAAGGAGTAAAGCCTGTAGAGG